TGATGTTTGATAACACTAACTATAGTGTTATTTGTCAAGCTATTTTCTGCTCATTTGCTGTCACTACATGGTAATTTTAGTAACGTTGAAAGCTAAAACATCATCTAATTTTCTTTTGAACAATTTCTCACACTTATTCGAATAACTAACAGTATAAACCAAACCAAACAAGCACAGAGAAGAAGATTACTAACGAACACATGTCAGCATTAAACAGCAGCTTCAAGTTGAAAAACTTAAAACTTTTGTTAAGTAAATGTCTACTTAAGTTACATAATACAATAAGCTACTTCAGAATGTATCAACATTTGATTTGTTCAATGTCATGTTTACTGTTAATTCTAACTGGTTGGATTTTATTAGATTGAAGGTGAAATGCTCAACCGATAACTATGCACAGTTTATTTCTTTCAATTATCCTTGAATTATTTAAGCAATGAACTGTATTTCAAGAATTCAGAGAGCAGGAGGGATCTCATCACTGAAGGACCGAACAATGTATTAGAAATACTAAAGTTATCAAAAATATCTTTGGAAAGTGTTATTTATAAAATTCATTAGAAAATTACAAACGCACCTTCACAATTTAAAGCTGCAGATATGATCAATATAAACAATTAAACTACGAGTAGTATCATAAAAAATAACTTCAGGATTGTAAATAGAATAATAAATGACAGGATGACAGATAATTTTAACGAAAATCTTAATTTTTAATATAGAGTTATATAGAGTGTTGTTGATTAGGAAATCATGAACCGATCATTCTTATACCACCACTGGACATCTAGGAGCACTGGACGGCCGTTTCGTCCAAGTATGTGAGTCATCAGCATTGTGCAACTACGATCCTTACTCGCGAGAGTCCAAACTAGGTCCTTCATTCTCGCTCGAAATCACTTAGCCTCTAGATCACAACCTCACCCATTGTCCTCGTTAGTTACTGCATACACCCGACAGGATTAAACTCCGCTTTTAACGTCTTCTCTCAAGAACTCCGAGAATTTCCTCACGAAGTTAGCCGCTGGTGAGGATGTTTTACGATTTTTCATTACAGAGGTTGCGTAAAACCTTAGATTGATCAGAGTTAGAAAGTAACACAGTTGGATAACTCCTAAGTGGTCTAAAGGTATAAGTGTTTAAGTGTTCGAGTGTGACACCAATAGGGCCTGAGTTCGACTCTTGCAAGCAAGGGTCATAGATGTTCATGGCTGATGTGTCCCATTTTAGGTCGAAACAGACGTCCAGTGCTTTCAGGTTTCTAAAGGTGGTCTAACGATGATCAATTCATGATTTCAATGGAAAACCTTACTACTAATTCGAAATAATGATTCTGAAAACTAGCTCTGGCATGATTTTCTGTTCCATTTATTTTTATCATTCTTTCTGCAACGTAGTAGTGATCTGACCTAATTAAGGATTGCGATTTGGTTAGTTATCTACGCCTGATAAAAAGAATCAAAACTCGTATACAATAAAAAAATTCGATGTTCTCACATCTAAACTCAATCATCGAATACCGCCATTAAGTGGTTAAACTAAGCTGATGTCTACTGAATATTTGTTTTGTTACAAGTACGTTAAAATAAGATCGTGTTTCAGACATTATTTTTCAAATTCTGCCTAAATAACATCTGCAGCTTATTCGGTACCATAATTTTTTCCCATGTACAGATTATACCAAATTAGTGTAGACAATATCTTTCTAAGATTTCATCTATACACATAACCATCAGAACGAAACTTAACAAGTAAAACTCATGGCATGCGCAGTAGAAAGTAAGATTTAGCTCGGTTCATGTCAAATAATCTATTTCAGTAGTAATTATCTCTGAGTACACTTTACCATAAGTGAACTATCTTGGTTTCAATCAGTGGTAGATTTAGGACTCATATATCTACAAAATTTGTGATTCTGAAGTGTCATAATCTAGATATCTAAGTTAAATTAAGTGCTGGTTAACATACTATATGACGTATAAAGTAATGTTTCCTAAAATTTGTTTTACAAAATAGGTAATAAAAGACTGCTATGGTACCATAATTTTACTTTGAGTTGCATTTCTAATAAAGCTATTATAAAGGCAGAAATAGTTCAACGTCTCTTAAACCTTCGAATATTAGTAAGTGAACTGAACTGAGACTAACGTGTTTGGGAAAGTGGAATCTCAAACTGCATCGAATCTTCTTTTTCAAGAAACTCAGTAAATTTTCTTTAACGTTTAATGATCTCATTCAGTCTATGGAAGAAACAAATCGAAGTATCTGTAACTCTCATTGTCAAAGATGAAAAGCATTCGCAATATTCCATTCTTTATTTGAGTAAGCCGACAAATAAATTCCAATGAATGGGATTACCTTATAATAGTTTGTTCTCGAAATCGATTCACTGACATTTTATATACCATTTATCAGAAATTTAATCTCTTTTGACACTGACCTAATAATGCTCGCAGCAAGTATTATTTCAGTCTACCAATAAAATTGGTTGAATCATCAAAAATCATGCTTTAAAATAATCCCACTAATAAATCTATACAGCTGTTTCAAGTATTTTCGCAAATATCAAAATCTATCACAAAAGACTTAGGTTATACCAAGTGAATCACTGACTTTGCCTTAAATAAACCGATTCTTACGTTATGGTCATAAGGTACACAAAATACCAAACCTGTTATAAAATATATGTTATAAATGAATTTGTTTGTAAAAGATCCAAACATAAAAGAGCAGATATCTTGTACATGTAACAGCAGTCTCTTTGTTCCTTGATACATGTTCGCGTTTCCTTTCTTATTGTAAATATTAACATAAATATTCCTAATAGACCAGAGTTGTATAACATTATTATTTTGACTTAGACCCTTCATAATGTTGAGATATTAGTTTTGTGGTAGAAAGATAATACATCTCAAATGCTAATCTTCACCATGGTCTAGTCAGTAACTTTTGAAAGTTCCTACATGTATTCTGTGTCGAAACGTATGTTACATTTATATATGTGCGGCTGATTAATCTCATTATCCAGATCAATGAACTATTGCACTCGTCTATCAACAAAAGAATAACAGATTTAACTTTTATGTTGATTCAAGTCTTCATCAAGAAGTTAGGCTGTTTATTGGATGTCTAAAACTCACTGCAGCCCTAAACATTACCAGTGGTCGTATTTAATCAGGGAGAACTAAAGTTGCATTGAAACCGCTCTGAAATCTTTTATGAATAGACTGTTGAAAATATATTTGTAACGGGGTGAATACTCAGCAAAGGCGAACTTTCAGAATTATTCTACCTGGAATTATAGTTTTTATTTCTGTTGTATAATTTTTTGTATTTATCTAATCTATAGTTTTTATTGGACACATAAACTATTTTTATGTTTTACCTGTCACAAGTTGCTGTCAATTAATTACAGACCTAAAATATAAGTTCTCTGCCACTCATGGTATATCTAAGCATCCGTTGTAATTACTTAGTCGTGTTCATGTGTTATTAGGATTTTACTCAACATTGTTATATGAGAAGAGTAATAAAATTGGACTCTCTGGTTAGAACTTACCTGTTTACTATATCGTGATTTGATCTGGATACTGAGGGAGCAGACTTGGAGGACCTGTATTACGAACCAGTGGTAGTTAAGCATTGTTATTCGCCATTATCTCACTATCAACATTTCACTAGAAATGACTAATACCCGGGGTAGATCATACGATTGCTTTCCTGTAATAAATCCGCCATCACAAAGGTCCTAAAAATGAATGAAGCATCCTTAGCAGAGTTAGAATCTGGACTCGGTAGCTAAGTGGACAACACAATCACGGTTCGAGTCCCGAGGTGAACATCAGCTCTCGGATGCAAGTGAATCCAGCTGAAGAGTCCTAAACGAAACCTGCACACTGGATTCCACTGCTATCCAATTCCAACCTCTGTTGATATTGCTTATAACCTGAAGACAATATCGAGGCAATTTTCATGTGATACGCATATGCATAAGGGACTGATCGATTGCTGTCCTAATCATCAATAGAAATGAGCACCTATTTTTCCAGTCATATTCAATACCTTGCGTTACACAATATCTGACACCCACACTGCTGAAACATAGGCAATACCACTTTTTGTTAATTTCTAACCATATTTTTAATTCACTTCTATTATCCTCATTAATAAAAACTCGTACTTTACAGGAATTTTGTTTATTATACTAAGCATACCGTCAATAATAGTGTACATCAATTTTATAGCTCTAACGATTCACAACTATTAGAATAAGTAACATTATGTCATTCTTGAAGTCGCTTCTTTTGTCTTAGTTTGATAATATTTTTTTAAATTACTTTGTATTCTATTTTATCATTTTTCAAGATAAACTATTATTATTAATCACAATTTCACAACTTTTTACATATAGGCAGTAGACTTAAGTTAATATTGATTTCTTAAGAGAACTACTTTTAGTATGTCTATTCTTTTTTTGTCAACAGATAATTTTTCCGTTTAATATAATTAACTAACTAAAATGCTTTGATTGGTATTCCGGAATTAATTAATAATCTGTCAAAAATACAATTCAACATAAATCTAATTATGACTGATGATCAACAGGCCTCAATGAACCGCAGCATACATTTCAACATACCTAACTATTAATGACTTAATTATTTACTATTTAATCTGTTTCCTTGTTTTGCTTTAATTATTTCTCTTTTGATGATGATTAATATTTTCGATACAAATTTTTAATGGTTTATATTAAGTTAGTTACATTTTCAGTTCAAATAAATCTACAGGTAATCGTATCTGGAATTAAGGTGATGTTTAATTAACAAACATCATGAAAACAAAATAATCAAATAAGTATATGCATGTATATAATATGTATATATATATATAGATGCATATTTAAATAAAATATTCAAAAGCTTTGTTTCATTTAAATTAACACAGTCAGTCAGAAGATAAGTTAGAACTCTATCATCTAACCATAAAATTATCACTGTATTTTATATATGTACATAAAAAATTAAACAAATGATTTTTGCATGTTTAAACATTTTAAAGAACGTGCTGACAATAAATTTGTCGGCTGATGACTAGATTGATGATGATTATATTCTGTAGATTTTTCTGTGATTTGTGAATTGCTTTGTTGTTTACGAAACCAATCGTTGGTATTCGTATCATTATTCTTGGATGAATTAAGCATGATTTCACAACATTCTGATTTACGTAATATTGAAGGATATTTTGTAAGTTCTAATCTTTGATAATCCGAAATATCATTGGGTGATATTAATAAACCAGGTGTATTATTTTTAATATCATTATTTTTATTATTTGGCAAAAGCCATATTCTTTGTTCATTTTTATCATTCAATTGGTTATTGCATTCATCTGACAGTTTATTATTATTATTATTATTATTATTATTATTATTACCCTGTTTGTTATGAAACTCTTGATATTTGGATGCGATTGATTGACACTTCATGGCATACATTTGATCAGCATTCAATAAAATCTGTTCTTCATAAGATGGACTAGTTTGATGATGTAAACTCAAATTATTCATAGGTCCAGTAATCATCCTCAATTCGTCACATGATTTCGATAGTGTGGAATTGCGTTTCGTAGTTAATTCTGTTTGAGATGTATCACATATCGAAAAATCTTTAGGAGATTGCCTTGTCATAGTTTTAAATGTTGTTGGAATTTTGAAAGTTTGTACATTATACTTAACAGATCCGTATAAAGAACTTATACTAACTGGGGAAAATCTTTGGACTGAACTATCTAATGGATGAGTGGTAGAAGGGTAAGATGGATGACATAACTGGTTCACAGAATCACCTACATATGAGTTTGTAGAGCTGTGAGTTAAACATTTACCAGCTTGACGTCCTAAATGATGCTTAAATGTTATATAAATAAATTTGAATTATTTAATGTTAAAACATATTATATAATACAAATAATTAACTAGTTCCATCAACTCAAATGGTTTAGTGATAATCAGTAAAGTGAACTAGATACGTCGTTTGTTTTTTATTGATATCCATAAGTCAGGCAGATTTAGGAGCATCGATCTCAAAATTAATCTATTCATCTTTATTCTTAATGATATAATCAGTGATACATTATGACTCCTATACTACTTCTCAATGATTGAAGTCATAATAGTTGAAGTAATCATTGTAATACAATTACACCAAATGAAATCATTAACTATTATGAACTTGTTGGCATTATGTGGACTAAATATACTCTAGAGCTGCTGGCTAAATATATCAACAAGTTAGTAAGCTCAATTGAAAGTTTATTATTAGGTAATGAAGTATTTCAAGGTGTTTTGAAATGAAGCTATTGTGATGAAACAGAAAACATTGGATCACCAAGTGCGAATTAATACATATTGTTAGTTATTTTAAATGCATTACTTCTAATGGTCCATGAAAATTCACGTAATAAAACGCCAGCTCGATTATTAATTGCCTGACAATCGTAGGTAATCAGTCATTTATCTTACCACCTGATTTCAAACAACTTTATTTTGTACCTATTTTGCTGGAATCCACGAAACAACAGAGTGAAACGATTAATTTAGTATAGTTCTAGTTTAATAAAATGATTGAAGTCTCATTATAATAAATTACAATAGCTTTTCATTTTCACTTCGTCAATTACATACAACTTCATGTCCAAAAACTGTGTAGATTGTGATTTGTTTGAGTATATCATAACAAATATGCGCTAACAAATAGAGCATATCATGACAGAATAAATACAATGTAAGTTTTTGTAAACAGAAATTTGTTTACCGATGAGTATGCGAATGTCAAGTTTACAAGATAACCGCCATTTTTAGAAATTAAATTTATTCTCTTAAAACAAATTGTCAAATTTATTCTACCTGCAGAATTTAGAAAGGTTGACAAAATTACGAATAATAACTTGATAATCATAACAGTGAAAAGTTTCAAATTTTTAAATCAAAGTTGTAGTTTATTAAGATAAACCTTACCTCTATAATTTTTCCCGATTCCATATCTAATGTATACTCAGGGCTGGGATACGACTTCATATTCCATACAGACATTCCAGAACGATTTGTTTCTCTATCATTGTTTTTGTGTATTGGTACTTGTAAGGAAATCATAAAAAATATATGAGTATTATTATAATTTATTTATTTCTATCTATCTATATATGAGAATTTTAGATGACACTCATTATTTGTGACAAAAATATCAATGTTAACGACATCCTGAACAAGTTTGATAGCTGTTACAGCCATTTAAGTTCAAAATCGAATTAGAGTTTGATTCAACATTCTAATTCTTAGATTTTTTGGTAATTAGCAGACCTGATAGTTGTTTACAAAGGTCGATACATAGAAAGTAAACATAGAATGGTCAATACACAAATTTTCGCATTTGCGTCCCACGGCAGCGAAGGACAGATCTGATCCATTTTCTCTGCACAAGGGCTAACCGAATATATACTGAGGATACAACCGATATCGAACTAGATAAACTACGGCGAATATTGATAAACAATAAATATTCACCTCGAGAAAAATTTGCATCCGATGCAAATATATGAGTGTTCTTAAAAGTAAAGAAAACTCTTTTCAAGATTATTCAGTTTAAAGGAGATTCGATGACAGGAATCCGAAAAGTAGAGTTTTAATATCTTTGAGAATAGCACTCTATTCGGATAACCTTCGTGTTATAGTTTCTAGTCCACCTATGATTTGTATTTGAATGAGGGATAAGCTCCTACCCAAAAGATGTTGAGCAGAGAGTTTTCCTTATCTTAGCACCTTTTGATTGCCAGTAATTACCAGTTTATGATCCTTATATACAATTCATTACATAATATCACCTCAAGTTGTTTTGATCATTATTATTTCACACCATTCTATTTTCATAAGGACTATCATCTTATCAAATAAAATTAACTGTAAATACTATCATCGGAAAGAAAATTTTCTCTACAGAATTACCATCATTATTCCTCAATTATTAAAATATTGTACATAAAGCAAATTAAATATCTGACTGTAATCGGAATCCTTATGGAAAGTGGAAATACAAATTATTGAATACTAAACGGTGTTATTGGTCCTAAAGAGTCGCTATAAACACAAATTAATACTTATCATAAAAAGCAAAATTTTCTTCATTGTTCATTAGTCAATCCTTATCCAGTATCTGTTTTTATGTTTTTGTTATTCCGAAATTAGAGTAAGTTGATTGGTTTCAGTTTAACCGAATAGGTCAACAAGGATTGATTTCGACGCAAATCCTAAACTATCTAAATTAAACGTCACCAATATGATAATTAACGAAAGTTCAATACTATGAAGCTGATTGCCTAACTATAACACTTAAATCCTTTTTATCTGTTGTTCGGTTCACTGATAACAGACAACGTAACTGATGTTCATATTCTTGTATTTGTACTGAACTCAAGTTAGCTTTTACTTGTATGAGAAATTTTAATTACATTTATTTCAACAATATATATATATATATATTTAATAGAGAGAAATGCTTCATGAGTGTTCTTTAATTCAAAGGTGGATTGGTACATTGAAATACGAATCATATGATTACATCGAATGGTTTATCCAAGGTTTGAATCAGTACAAAAATACAAAAGTACTAACCCAATCAAATACAAAGAAATTGACTGCTAAACACATGCCTCTTATTCTAGTCGGTCTATCATTATTTACCAAATAGTTTGTGGATTAAAAGAATTTCTTCGCTTATTCATAATCTTATTGAATTGTATTAAAAAAGAAAAAACTGCGCAACATGATAATGGGACACATACAATAATCAGGCTTCGGCAGTCATTCCTGAATGATATTAGGTAGTTTATTTGATTTCAGTCAGTACGAAGAAGCATATATACATAATGCATACATACTTATACATTTTACTTGCTTATAAATAATTTGCAAAAAATATATGTATCAATAACAAACAGTTTGCAATACAGTTGAATCTCGTTGAATAAAATTAACATAACACTGACATGTTCGATCTGATCATGATTTTAGTGATACAAAAAAAATTTTCTGCTGTGTTTCCTTTCTTCTGTCTCTATGAGTTAATTTATTTCGGTCATTTACTTATTTATCTACTTTGAAGAAGTGACTTACATTAAGTCAAGAAACGTCAGAAATAAAAAATTCCTACTCATCGGGATGTTGCCTAAACTATAGTTAATGCATTATTATTATTATTATTATTATTACTAACAATATATCTGATGTGAATAAAATTAATAGCAGGGGAAATGTTGACCGAACCTTTTATGTAATCTGTCTTTACGAATTCGAATTCTGAATTCTGAACACTTCAAATGATCTCAAAACTTGTGTAAACTCATCAAATCTTCTTTAATTATTATACAATTTATCTTATCAGTTTGCGGACTACATATACTTCAGTCCATCGAAATTTTTGAATTACATATTAACATCACTTCACGTATCCTTATTTATGAACATATTTATTAAGTTATTACTAATAATCATTGTTTTATTTTCATACAAACCCGGTTGTCAGTGGTTGAACAGAAATCATAGAATAAAATGAATTTATATTATTCTGCTTCAGTTGATGTTTTTGGTCTTGTAAGTGTTTCATAATTCAAGTTCTAACAGATATCTCCTAACTAAAGTATATTTATAAATACACTTGTTACATGAAAAATCTGTTACTTTACTTTTATACTTTGGTATTATGTTTTTAAACATAAAACTAACAAACTTATTTAAGTTTTTATCTGAACAATAAAATATTACTATTTACCGTCACCGCATCGTTTGAAAGATATGGTTTACAAAGGCGTTATAATTCTGCTGAGAATTATTATTATCACTAAAAATTGCTGGCTCTGACTATATTGATTAGAGCAGTCATGAAAGCTATTATTGCTTATCATTGTGCTTAACGAAACCCAATATCATTAGGAAAATCTGTTCGAGCTACGAATTTCACCTGTCAAAACTTTTATGTCCACGACGATTCTATTTTAGTTGCCAATGATCAAGAATTGTTGACTACCGTCATAGTTATACCGTTTCAATTACGACGTTTGACTAGGACATAACACATACTAGTCATAATTTAAATAAAATGAAAGCAGAGATATTTTAAAAGTGAGATTTTATTTTATGTAACCTTATAACTATCTGAAAAACTAGGCTGTAAAACTGTCCACGGAAATACTACTGTTGTTGGTGCTGTTATTAAAACGATGATAGTTTCTTCTACTTTACTCCTAACGTAAATTTTGAGGTTGAGACTGTAAATAATAAAAAAAATAATTTGTTTAAATATTATCGACATATACACTGAGTATGTCTAGCTACGTAAGTTTTTCCGCTTAAACATAGCATACTGAGGGACAAATTACCTCTGATTGTTATCACGTTAGAATTAGAACCTAAACTAGAGATAGAATAATCATTAAAGTTATTGAAAAGGTAATGGCCGCACAAAATATTGGCTTTTATATAAATCAAAAAACGATAACAACTAGTTTTACAACTTTTTCTAATAGCAATATTATTAGGCGACTGGTTTGATGACTTCAACATTGGAAATTGTGGAAAATTGTTCGTAAGTGCAAGTACGGATGTGAATTATAAATTGAAACCACAATTGGTTTTAACGTTTTGCAAACAACGAAGAATAACTCTTATATCTTATATTTGTAAAATTCTTAGTTTTCGAAATTTATCCAGTTATGGCTCATTATTTCTACTTTATAAGACTGACAGTGCATTAATTGCAATTAATATTTTACGACTTTAAATTGACAACCGTGATAGGGTTCAATTAACTCATTTATGTTCTTAAATAAGGCAACCACAAACATATAACTACTAATTTGTCTAGCAGACCATTTTAGAGTGAAGAGAATATTTTCATTTTTTTCTCTTGCTCGTCTCGTCGAAGTGAATAAAAATAGGTTGACTGAATAAATTAATCCATAATAATAGCTTGAAATGTATAACTACGTTCATCCTCAATACAGGTTTGTTGTTACACGTAGGAAATATTACAGAAAAAGATTTAGCATAATAAACCGGAAAGAATTAGTTAGAGGTATGAAGATAATAAGTAAGCCAAAAGGGAAAACAGCAGAGCGGAATGGTGGCTATTAGTGGGATCCAGGTCGCTTCTTTCATCATTTTTTGACTCTTGAGCTGGATTTATCTGGATTTCATAGTTGATGTTCACTCCAGCACTCAGACACAGTACATAATGCTTAAAACACCATCACGTTATCCGCAGAGTCTAGAAAGCCACCGGCTTGTGCATTGATGTGAAGCTTAATTCAATTGCATTAGTGATTTGAGTGCTCCCACTGAAGGTTGGGGCTGAAATTCGCCAGTCACTTTGGCATTATGCACATCCTGTACACAGGATTAATAATAAAATGCTGTTAGACAATACTAGATATCGGTTAAGGAGACTAAATCTTTTATCATGTTTAAAGCACTTCCTACGGAGAATTTTCGGTCAGATCTCCGGAGTGAATTAGATTTGTTAAAACTTTAAGTTTAACACAAAAAACTCAGTAAAAATATGTCATTATTTACAATAAGTGGAAGAAACAGTTCCCGGACATTTCAAATAAACCACTTACCTGAGATTTCATTATGAGTCCTGGGTGCAATTCGTCTCATGGCAATAACTGCACCAATCAACAATAGACAAAGCAGTCCAGCCACAGATATCAGAGCTGCTACAATAGCCATTGTACTTAAACTGTACCGCTGTGGAGACTCATCTAGTACTTTGATTGACTGGTATGAATGATGAGCATTATTATTGGTGGAAATCATTTTAGGATACCGTTTTTCAAGATCTGAGACCTTCTTATCCTTTCCAATTAGACGCACTGGTTGAAGCCATTTAGCTGAGTATGTATCCCTAGAAACAGGTGTTGAATCCGAATCTATGTTTTTAAGCAAATTCGTTTGTGATTCAATGGTTGAAATTTGTTCATCGACGATGTGAATGCGAACAGCATAACGTCTTTTTAACGACTTTGTAGGATCAGTAGGACGATCACTTGCAACAACGTGTACGGTATACTGGCCTACGGGAGGATCTTCTTTACTCTTCTTACATATTATTGTATGATCCAACCTGAATTCAAAATACGGGTTTGTTTCAAGTGTAACATCTATCTGTGCATTCTCTTTCTCATCTGCATCAGTAAAATAATATGGAAATTCAATACATGAGTTGAATGGATCTTTAGCATTTACGTTATATTTTAAATCAACCACTGAAAGAGGTTGAATCTGTTTTGTTTGACTAATTAATCCCCCTTCTGTCCCTCCAAAGTACCTTAGTATTTCCCCATGATGTAACATAACAGGTGCATTATCATTTTGATCAGCTATATTGATTGTAACACTAGCCTCATCATAGAATATAGTTCTATTTAAATTGATAGATGAAAATTTGGATTTCGGTTTCTCATTACGGGCAATAATTATAAATGGTATTTGTTGTATTTCTTCACGATCCAAAATTCTTCGAGTATAAATAATCCCAGTATTCCTAAATTAAAAAAATATTTTTTTTGTGGTTCAGTAACTAGTTCTGTAATTATTGTAAAATAATCATGTTTTATTTTTAAGGGTAAAAACAATGATAATACAACAAAAGTGATGTATGATGTTCCATGAGTCTCAACGGTACTTTAACTAATTTATTGCCCTGATGAAAACAAAATGTTAACTGAATGAACTCAATGAATGTAGCAGCGTTGCTGAAGAAATTTGAAACATTTAACTGTAAACCTAAATCAACACATTACAGTTACAGGGTGAACAGAATTGATTTTCATTGTACCTCCTCAAAACTAGGATTTTGATTTATAATATGTACATAAAACGTCATCCGTATTTCATGAATTTTATGAGATGATAATTGCTCATCCTTGCATTATGAAAGAACATCATTCTTTAAAAATCTAGTTTCTTTTAGAATGTTTTTTCAACTACACAGAAAATATTTATATCAGATAGAGCGACGAATCTTTTCCAGATTAATTTTTGTCCTGTGTCTGTGATAAAACTGCTGAAAACGTCAAACACAAGCTCAGCATAAATCCTATTCTAATAGTATGTGATGTATTTATGGATTTCATCAAATTTTACAGATAGCTCTATTGAATTTTAGAAAGCATTTTGATAAAAATTATAAACATTCAAGTTTGACTATTACTTGCATCAGCGAAGATCAAACGAAAGCAGATGTACATTTTTAAACTTAAGTCAAGTTTATTGGCCCGTAGTCTGACTCAAGTTTGAAGGAATAAATGAATTTTCTTTCATCCAATTTTCGTATATTATTTTTCAGCAAATCTAGTTTGTGCGATGGCAGTGATTAAGAGCCCAATACGGTTTATCATTAATGAATTTATTTAATACATTCACATAACCAAACAAACACTAAAGAGAATCGTAAAGGAGAAGCAAAGTGAAGCGTAGAAGGGCAGTGAACCAGCTTCATGCTATGGTGCATGACCAAGTATTTATAGTCTGACAAAAGCTAGACATATAATATGTGAAGTAAGAGATATACACACTGACTCAAGTAAAAAACAACAAGATTATTAACGAAAGACATGTAAATAACTCGAGAAAAATGGATCAGTCGACTTTTCCAAAGGCTAGGACAAACTAATATGGGCTCGAAATCTTAGTACACACTACACTAGCAAAAGTCATTCAGCTACAACGTGGAACTTCGCACATCAGTTCAGGTTGCAAAGACTGATAACAAAGTGAAAACCCATTACTGGTTGGAAATAATGATGAAATTTCAGACACTTAACAAATAAACAAATAGTGATTAGCTTTTTCTCCAATCGACTATTATTTTAAATTCTTGATTCCCCAGTAGAAAGTTACTCGATTCTCATGTAACTCTTATAGACTGTTTACATTGCTCAATCTATACTTGTAGTGTATTTATTTTATGACTTCTGTAGTTAGTCTAACTTTATAAATTATTAGTTGAATCGGTTTTGTAAGTAAAATGCAGATACAGGTTCAAATAACTTACTGTTCTACATAAATGAAATTTGATGCATTTATGTTAACTACATCACGAAGTTCATAAGTTATGTATCGATTTTCTTTATCACGATCTGCATCTGTCGATTTCACTTGACCAACCAAAGAATGACGCGGTAAACCTTCCGAAATATCGAAAATATAATGATGTTGTTCTAAGACTGGTGGATTGTCATTTTCGTCATCGACCTGTAGGGATGAAATAAATTTCACAGAAATAGTAGTTTATGAATTTCGAAGATGAAATAGATGAAATAGTTGATTTTATTATACCAATGATATGATTGTTTATTTGTAAGCTCTATTTTTTTTTTTAAAGTAAATAAAAAAACGTTATCTGGTAAACAGATTGAAATGACCTTCAGTGACAAGATCACATTTTTTCAATCATCGTTTGATCAAACTTTGAATCTATTCCACATTTTAACGGATTAGAAGTGGTCTGGAACACTGTTCTACAAATCACAAATTGTAAGAAAGTAAATGTTTCCATAATGATTAAGATTTATAAGAAGTGTTCTTATTAACTATATCGATAACCAATACTGGACTTATCAGACGAACTATCTTAAGAACATTTAAACACTTTCATTGACATTCAAACACATAATTAGTCATATGAGAAAAGACCGTATTGTATATTGTATATCAGCAACATAATCTAACACCTACAAAGAATCAGTGAATGAATACTTATGTTCAGAAAGATAAGATTATCAAAATCAGTAATGATTTTGGTACTAAATGTTAGACAGTGATCAAAGTCATTTTATTTTTACTTATCATTCTAAAATTGCATTGTGATCATTAGTAAAATTATTTAAAGATAAGAAACTATTTTAGCTTAATTTTGAACTTCATGCTTAATAAATGAATCACTACAAAAGGTTACAAATTGAGAATCACTAGGATTTTATAAACTTTCTTCCAAATTCTTCTTTGTGAAATCTTTTCAATATTACTGATTTATCTTACAGATACCAGAAATCTTTTGATCTATTGTTGCTTTCTAGTTCAATAAAGATAGAATAAGACTTTTAAAATTTTCTTTTCTTCAAAAGTGATTATCTTTATTCCATCACGTACACAAAATTAGTCATGTAAAATCCATTTTCAAAATGACACAGATATTCTGTGAGGAAAAGTGATACACTCACAAGAGTGTGTATAATTGTGTGTGTGTGTGAGGAAATTTAATGACAGCAGAATTCGAAATTGTGTTATTTGCACCTATTTAAGCATAAGGTCTTTTGATGCATTTAAAATTACTAATCATTATTTTTAATATCAAAGCATTTATTTCGTATAATTCATAATTTAGCTTTTAAAAAATGTTAATCAGATATTATATCATGAAATCAATTACCACAATATATATACATACATATGATAAATTATCATACTACTCTCTCGATTCTAAATTTTAATATGTAAACATTTTTTTTAAATTTTCGGTTTAATCTTGTAATGCATTCATTATACGATGTCAGATTTTAGTTTATTTTCAGACAATAGATAATGTTTTCATTATTTAGTTAATAATATCCAATTCGATAATGTACTTTAATGAAAAATAAATTATTAATCGCTGTCAATATTCCAACTTTTGAAGTTATTGGAATTTTCAGTTTATTTTGACTTAACATTACACAACCAAACTTTATAGTTTAAATATGTGAATCTAAACATGGTATTTTGAAACCTTAAAGGTCATGAAATAGTTGAAAGTAAATCCAAGGCTAAGATTTCATGGTGTTTGCTAGTGATAAGCCATTACTAGGTAAATGATTCTTCTAGTGGTATCTGAAACCTCGTCATCTAGCTTCATAGCCTGTAAAGTCATTACTGAGCTGTTTTAAACGCCCTGATCTCCTGCTGCAATGATTGATTGATTATTGAGTACTGACCAATGTCTAAATGGTAACTGAATTCTATCAACCAAGATATAATACTGCCTACAGTGTAAGTAACTCAACATAAGGAATGGAATGTCTCCAGTCACCTAATATTGATATGATATCTGAGTGGTTATCCAATGAGTCACAACGTTATAACCTCATCAACAGAATTCAGATACCGTTAATTACTAGGTCAAGATGATCTGTGATCACTATTCAGAGATCAATCAATGTCTCGGCATGAAGATGCTACTTCGCAGAAAACTTATCACTGATATGCATGAACAAAACAATGAGATCAGAAGGAAAAACCATTGAGAAATTCTGTGGTTGAAAAATCGGAAAATTCCCAGATGGTTAAATAAAGTCAATTATTCTGATGGATTATCGATCTAAATAATAGAAATGCAAGTGCTAAGAAAAAAGATATATTCAATCAATATCAAATAGATTAAAGCACAAATTAGAAATTTCTAAACTACTTTCTAACTAATGATAAATTTAATTAATATAAAAAGCCTAACATTTGTCAGGTAACGAAATTTATTTCTGTGGTGAAATCTACAAAATTTCTGCAATCACTAGAAACACGATAATCTACTTATCTATTTCTGTTTTCGAATAACTCACATAACAGTGGCATTGTCATGATTCTGCGCCATTCTATCTACATAAATTATTACTAAATTATTCTTAAGAAAGTCGCGGTTTAACTAATTTATTAATAACATTATTTTAATTTTAAAGTTTTTTTACAAACTGAGAATCATCAACAGTCAGTAAGAAAGGGAAAGCTGTTGTAATGTATGTCACTGAACTGAAACAGGAAAACTTCAATCATTCTGACATCCAAATGAAAACTCATCCCAGCTGAACAAGTGACAAGCTATTTAAAGCTTGTCATCAGCTTTAATTATGTTCCCTGCATAACCTTGAGATGGGTAAATCAAAAGCAGCAAACCTTTCAATTATTACATTACATTTATTGTGTCAGCAGTCATCGAATTGTTCAGTAAACTTGACTATCCGACAAATCTTAATAAAAGCAGAGGTTCAAACGACTGGACTTCACTTAGAAATTGGTTAAAATACCTTGGCGCCGTTGGTTTTAGGTAAAAAACGTTAGAAAAATGTTACTGATGAATTATTTTTTCCATTAAACTTACTATTACAGTTACAAGTGCCGTGGTGGAATGCCTTTTCTCAGGTGGTACTGCTTGATCAGTAGCAACTACAATAAAATAATAAACATTTTGTCGTTCACAATCCAGTTCTACACGTGTTCTTAACTGACCGCTAATTGGATCTATGTAGAAATTTTCCACATCTTTTTGTGTATCATACGATGAAGAGTGTTTTATCTGATGTTCCCCAACCTCTCCGGTAGTATTGTGATTTAAATCAAAGTGAGTGGAAATGGCAAGTCTCTGCGTCTGATTTTTGATGAATAGTAATAAATTCTGTTCGTTTTTCTTAGTATGATTTTGTACAAATTTGATATAGTCAGAGAGATATAATGACTCCAGTGAGTAGACTATTTGTGCATTAGGACCCATGTCTAGGTCAGTAGCATGTATCATATTTCTATATGAGCTGACCGCTGTTTCAGTGTTTGAATTTATTAGCGCAACAACTGTATTTGCAGTGTTTTCTTTCACGTGACCTATATAATGTTCGTGCGTAAATTTTGGTGCATTGTCATTACGATCTTTCACAATGATATGTAAATGATTATGTCCAACCAAACTAGATTCAGTTATACCATCCTGACATTTAACTGTAAGTGTATGCTGTGGTGCAACTTCTCTGTCTAGTGACATAATTGACACTAAGTCAAAAATTTTTCTTTTTTGTACAAGTCTGTTTGTGCTAACTTCTTTTAATTCAAATTGTTTACTTTTATTTCCTTCTAATGAACATTGAATACTATTTAAATCATTATCTAAATCTGTTACATGTACATGACATAAGATTTGATTTTCTAAAGAATAATTGTCGAATTCATTTTCATAAACATTAATCTGAGCGTAATTTGAATCCAGTGGTTGTCCATGATAATAAAATTTTATGATTGGTGCATTATCATTCATGTTCAAAACAGTAACTTTAATTTGGGCTGATGCTGATAACGGTGGATGACCTTGATCAACGCATACAATTTCAAAAACAAAATGAGACTGTACTTCATAATCTAACGGTTGACTTATTCTCAAACTGACACCTTCCACAGATGGTAATAATTGTATATGGTTACGTAAATATTCAGGACTAACTTGATTCATTCCATTTGCTGTACGTAAGTAATAATTAAGTCGTGCATTCGAATCAATATCAGAATCATTCACATGAATATTAAGTAATGAAATACCGGCTTTGTTTTCATTCACTTCAACATGAAATTCGGATTTCTCAAACACTGGAGGATTATCATTTTCATCTAATATCTGAAAGAGATATGATGAAATGCAGTAAAGCAAATATAAAATCTTAATATTTACATAGTCACTCTGATCAATTAAAGTACAATTGTTTTAACGTGATCTAAATAATTGATCAACGGTTTACCCTCGGGTTGGAAACATATATATATATATATATATATATATATATATATATATATACGTATACCTATGCATCAATTTTCTAAATAAAATAATATCAAGAACAAGGTGAACCTTATAGGAATTTCAGATTTGATCGCTTTTATACGATGATCTAGTCAATCGTTAACTCCGCCTGTAAACCCTTCAGGGCTACTGCCGGTCCCAAGCTCAGATAAAGGAGGAGGGTTGGGCATGGGGTTGGCGACCCCATCCTAACTATAAACTAACTTGCCAAAAAACGCCAACCAGAAAAAAGTAAATCAAACCATTTTAACTTTGCCCTGTGAGTTGAAAGAAGAATTATGACGTCGCGTGGTGAAAGCTGAATTACGTCGTAAGTCACGGGGCCGATGCCTCTTCTGAAACACCACAGCAACCATTCTTTTAGGTGCATGGAACGTTCGTACATTGTGCCAGACTGGAAGACTATTTCAAGTTGCGACACAAATGAAAAGATACAACCTCGAGGTGCTCGGCATCAGTGAAACGCATTGGACACAGGTAGGACAACTGAGATTAGCTTCAGGGGAAGAGGAAAATACAAAAGGAGTTGCACTGATGCTGTCCAAACATGCACAAAAGGCACTGATAGGATGGGAATCTCATGGACCCAGGATCATTAAAGCATCCTTCAAAACAAAGAAAAAGGACATTACAATGAACGTCATCCAATGTTATGCACCTACCAATGACTACAATGACGACGTTAAAGATCAATTCTACGAAAGGCTGCAGTCAATCGTCGAGAAATGTTCACCAAAGGATTTGACCATTCTAATGGGAGGCCTAAATTCCAAGGTTGGAATGGACAACACTGGATATGAACACATCATGGGACGACATGGACTGGGAGAAAGGAACGAAAATGGTGAGAGATTTGCAAATCTATGTGCCTTCAACAAGCTGGTCATAAGTGGAACAATATTACCACACAAACGCATACACAAAGGTACATGGATTTCACCGGACCCCACTACTCAAAACCATATCGACCATATCTGTATCAACAAAAAGTTCAGAAGGACTATGGAGGATGTGAGAACCAGGAGAGGAGCTGTTATAGCCTCACATCACCACTTGCTGGTCGCCAAAATGAAACTGAAACTCAAGAAACACTGGATAACGGGGCAGACAACATCACAGAAGTTTAATACAGCCTTTTTTCTGGATACTGCAAAACTCAATGAATTCAAGATAGCCCTCACTAATAAGTTCCAGTCCTTCAACGATCTACTCAATGGAGAGGAAGCAAGATTGGAGAACAATTGAAAAGGGATCAAGGAGGCAATCACTTCAACATGTCAGGAGGTTCTGGGTCACATTAAGCGCCATCACAAGGATTGGATCTCTGTTGATACTCTTGCAAAAATTGAAGAAAGGAGGAACAAAAAGGCTGTAATCAACGTCAGCCGAGCAAGAGCAGACAAAGTTAAGGTACAAGCTGCATACGTAGAAGCAAAAGGGGCAGTGAAGTAGAGCGTCAGAGCTGACAAACGAAAATATGTGGAAGATCTAGCAACGACGGCGGAAAAGGCTGAAAGAGAAGGAAACTTGAGAAAATTGTACGAAACAACAAAGAAGCTCGCCGGAAACTATCGTAAACCAGAACGACCATTGAAAAGCAAGGAAGGCAAAGAAATCAGCAACACTGAAGAACAGCGAAATAGGTGGGTACAGCACTTGAAGCAACTCTGGAATCGACCAGCTCCACTGAACACACTCAACATCGAAGCAGCATCCACGGACCTCCCAATTAATATTGGCGCATTTACGATTGAGGAGATCAGTATGGCCATCGTACAAACCAAGAGCGACAAATCAGTAGGACCAGACAACATTTAAGCAGAAGCATTAAAAGCAGATATAGAAGCAACTGCGAAAATATTTCACATCCTCTTCAAGAAGATTTGGGATGAGGAACAAGTACCATCAGATTGGAAAGAAGGATACCTCATCAAAATACCAAAGAAAGGCGATCTCAGCAAGTGTGAGAACTACAAAGAGGCATCACTCTTCTCTAAACAACCGGAAAAGTCTTCAACAGGGTATTGTTAAACAGAATGAAGGACTTCGTAGACGCCCAACTTCGAGATCAACAGGCTGGAGTTCGTAAGGATCGATCGTGTACTGACCAAATTGCTACATTACGGATCATTGTGGAACAATCAATTGAACGGAACTCACCACTCTACATCAACTTCATCGACTACGAGAAGGCATTCGATAGCGTGGATGAAAAAACACTGTAAAGGCTTCTTCGACACTATGGTGTGCCTGAGAAAATAGTTAACATCATACAGAATTCTTATGATGGATTCAACTGCAAAATCGTACACAGAGGACAGCTAACAGACTCTTTTGAGGTGAAGACCGGCGTGAGGCAAGGTTGCCTACTCTCAACCTTTCCCTTTCTCCTGGTGATCGACTGGATTATGGAGACGTCGAAATCTGGAGGGAAGCATGGTATCAACTGGACAGCCAGGAAGCAGATGGATGGTTTGGACTTCGCACATGCAAGAGAGGACGACCGGTGTAGCAGCAGGATTTTCAATACAAATGTCAAGACAGTTCTACTGTATGGAGCGGAAACCTGGAGAACTACGAAAGCCATCATCCAGAAGATACAAGTATTTATTAACAGTTGTCTACGCAAAGTACTTCGGATTCTATGGCCAGACACTATCAGCAACAACTTACTTTGGGAGAGAACAAACCAGATTCCAGTGGAGGAGGAAATCAGGAAGAAGCGGTGGAAGTGGATAGGACACACAATACGAAAGGCGCCCAACTGCGTCACAAGACAAGCCCTCACATGGAACCCTCAAGGCGAAAAGAAAATAGAACATCAAGATATGGGAAGAATGAACGAAAATTGGACAGAACTGGAAAGACGAGCCCAGGACAGAGTTGGTTGTAGAAAACTGGTGGGCAGCTTATGCTCCATTAAAGGTAACAGGCCTAAGTTAGTAAGTAATTCAGTGGTTAGAAAATATGTACTGAGTTGTTAAAATATGAGCGAGTTCACTTAGTGCTTGTCTCATTTTCTCATTGTTACCTTTCATCACCTTTGATTTGTATAGTCGGATAAAATCTCAATAGTTTGGAATTATGCTTACTAAAACTATTCACATGAATACTAATACCAAAAACAATAATCAAAATAGTAGTAATAATAATGGTTGTCATAATTAGTGACAATATCATATGACAATCTGGTTAATTAAAAAAAACACGATCTATTTTATAGACAAGTTTAATGGAAACAAAAATATAACTTTAAATCACAAAAATAACGGAGTAAAGTTTGAAAAGAAAATAAACAATAGTGACAACCAAATTTTCACAAGTTGGTGCGTACGGTTGTAGCACACCTATACACAGACATAAACATACTTGTATGTATTGCTTTAATGCGCTTTTTCACATCAGGTTTACTACACGATTTTTCCAGACTTTACAGAATTTTAGATTTTTTTAGATTTGCGTGTATCAAGTATAATTGTGCATATTCATATGTATCCAATTCTGCGTTAATCATCTTGATTATGCTCACTACTTATTGTTTCTACGTTTCTATAGCTGAACCGGAAACAAAAACCCTGTAGATAGTGAAGTTTTGATTACCTCCTTTCCTCTCTCTATCCCCCTCTATGTCTATGCAATGCTACGTATTTATATTTTAGTCATTATATATACATACAAAAACATATGTATTTATACTAAAGAGTTTAAATGTAAAGTGTTTGTATGAAGGCATTCCTCACTCAGTGGGGGGATTCTGACCAACAATCATTAACATTGAGTATGCTACTATATAGACTAGTAGGTGGAGTGGGAATAAGTTGAAGTAGTCTGTGAAATAGAGCAACGTCAACAATGGACAACATCGTAATCAGTTGCCGTCCAAATTCCAGATTTTTTCTAACACCCCTAAGACTTACTGCTAAGTACACGGTAATCGCCAATATGATATTCATTTCAATCTTTAGGTTCGATTCCTATGTATGGGGTCTTAGATACTCACTGTTGATAAGTTCAATATTAGGACGAAACCATCTAGTGCTTCCAAGTTTTTAATGGTGGTCTAAGAATGATCAATTCACGATTTCGATGAAACTCACCATACTTCACAACTCTATAATGAAAAATGATAAGCTGCCTGTATCGACATCCTCAATGTACATCTTTAAATTCAGCTGCGCCTGTGGAGGTAGATTTATTGGATGTACTACCGGACAACTTACTCAATTAATGGGTGAACATCTCCCAGAATGGTTTTGAAAGGGTCCATTAAAAACATTTAGCAGTTCTATTTTGGTACACCTGATTGATTGTGGTCAAATATAGGTGAAACCGAATCGTTTTGAGTGATCTGTTTTTAACCTATATTATTTCCTAAAGGAGTTCGATCCCATTTCCCGAAAGAATCCAAACCCGTAATTGCAGTTGATGTGTTGAGAAGAAATTCTGGACTACTCTGTTCCTTCCTCGGCCGGAATTATATAAATAGACGATTTTGTTTTATTATTTTCACATCTTGCATTTTTCACATCTTTCCGTTTATATTCACTATCTTATTATTCACTCACGTCTTAGTACCTACTTCTAATGATATTTCGTAATTAATATTCGAAGTCTGTTTATTCAAGTTTGACCCTCCAGAGGTGAACTCTTGACTAGAACTTTTGTTATTTTGATATTCTTGTAACTATTATTAGTACACTTACCTTTCTACTATCAACATATACTTTTACCTATTATGTGCAGTTATCTGACCTATTTTACTGTGGTTGTGGACTCATAAATTGCCTTGATTATTCGGACATTTTGTCATAAATATT